CCCGGGAATTCATGAGCAGAACCAACCGCCCCCCGCTGGCGCTGTCCCGCCTGGTGAGCCCCAAAATCCCGGGAATTCACCCCAAAATATCGGGAATTTATCCTGGAAATCCTGGGGTGTCATTGAACCCTAAAATCCCGGGATTTCAACCCAAAAAAACCCGGGAATTTAACCCAAAATCCCGGGAATTCACCCCAAAAAATCGGGAATTTATCCTGAAAATCCTGTGGTATCACTGAACCCCCAAATCCTGGGAATTTACCCCAAAATCTTCGGGAATTTAACACCAAAATATTGGGAATTTTTCCTGAAAATCCTGCGGTGTCACTGAGCCCAAAAAACCTGGGAATTCACCCCAAAAATATCGGGAATTAGCCCAAAAATCCCAGGAATTTGCTCCAAAAAAATCTGGGAATTCATCCCCAAAATTGGGTGAATTTTTCCAGGATTTGTGCAGATTTTGGGAGATTTTCGGAGTTTTTTTTCAGGGGTTTTCTTGGTTTATTTTTATTAAATTTTGAGTTTTCCAGGGGTTTGGGAATTTTGGGAATTTGGGGATTTTTCCCAATTTTGGGTCATTTTTTGAAGGGATTTGTGCGAATTTTGGGCGACTTTTTGAGGGATTTTTTGAGGTTTTTTCAGGTTTTTTTTGGTATTTTTTCATTTTTATTAAATTCTGACTTTCCCAGGGGTTTGGAATTTTGGGAATTTTGTGATTTTTGGGTGATTTTTTGGGATTTTTCAGATCCGGATGATGAACAAACCCGGGCGAGGGGACAAAACCGCGGTGGTGGTGGGGACGGTGACGGACGACGTTCGCATCCAGAACGTGCCCAAGCTCAAGGTTTGGGGGAAAATTCGGGAATTTTGGGAAAAATCGGGAATTCTGGGGAAATTCCGGAATTTTTTTGGGATTTTTTAGGGGTTTTGGGGCGTTTTTGGGGGGAATTTTTGTGAATTTTGGGGGTTTTTTGACGGACGACGTTCGCATCCAGAACGTGCCCAAGCTCAAGGTTTGGGGGAAAATCGGGAATTTTGGGAAAAATTGGGAATTTGGGGGATTTTTGGGAATTCTTGGGAATTTTTTTGGAATTTTTGGGGGATTTTTTGGGGGTTTTGGGTGAGTTTTAAGGGGAATTTTTGAGAATTTTGTGGGGTTTTTTGGGTCTGATTTTGGTTTTTTTTGTATTTTTGAGTGAGTTTGGGGTTTTTTTTTTGTTTGTTTTTTGGGTCTGATTTTGGTTTTTTTGCGTATGTTTTTGGTGATTTGGGGATTGGTTTTGGGTCTGATTTTTTTCGAGTTTGATTTTGGTGATTTTGGGGTTTTTTTTGTCTGATTTTGGTTTTATTTTGGTTTTTGGGTCTGATTTTGGTGACTTTGGGTTTTTTTCGGGTGTGATTTTGGTTTTTTATTTTTCGGGTCTGATTCTGGTTTTTTTGGGTAGGATTTTGGTGATTTGGGGTTTTTTTCGGGTCTGATTTTGGTGATTTTGGGATTTTGGGGTATGATTTTGGTTTTTTGGTGTGATTTTGGTGATTTTTGGGTCTGATTTTGGTGATTTTGTTATTTTTTCTCTCCCCAGGTCTGCGCTCTCAGGGTCACTCGCGGCGCTCGGAGCCGAATTCTCCGCGCCGGGGGCTCCATCCTCACCCTGGACCAGCTGGCCATGGCCACCCCAAAGGGCAAAGGGACGGTGCTGCTGTCGGGTGAGAGACCCCAAAATATCCCAAATTCACCCCAAAAAAATCCCCAAAAAAA